GTTTGGTTTGTTGAACTGTGACTCTGGAGATGAGGATTCAAATCCCCACTCATCCATGGAAACCCACGGGGTGAGTCACCTTCTTTCATCCTTGGAGGAAGTCAAAGGCAAATGCCCTCTGAACAAAGCTTGCCAAGAAAACCTAAACTCTAGCATTGCCATGCATCAGAAAAAAATTGACGGAGCACAACAACAAATTCTTGTATGCCAAGGATAGTGATCGGGAATAATTATTCCTCTCTGGTTCTATGTTTACAGGCACGAAGACCATGTACTTAGAAGGAACGAAGTCACAGATGCACACTACATAAGATATTTATGAAAAAATTTGTGATAACCACTGTATGTGTGCATAGATCACTGGCATCAACTGAAGCTTCACCTCTCTTCTTCACATACCATCACCTTCAGCACGATATTCCTCAATCAAGGCAATTCACACATTCAGCCAGGCTTTGTGTAGCATTTCACATGTTTGGTCAAGGCTGACCTGATCCATTTTGCAGCCTGAGGCAAAGAACAAGTTGGCAACTTCCCCATCAAACTTTCCATATACAGAAGATGACCAGAGAGAGAAATCAATCTTCTTCTGACTCTGGGCATGGACTGTATCTTCTACTGCAGTGGGACTCAATATGGTGGTTCATGGATTAGTGCTGGTGTGCAAAACTGACAGCTGCTAGTCCATGGCAAGTTTTCAGGAAAGGAACAGTTGTAGCCAATGGGGACAAATATGGATCCTTGGCACACAGTGAACAAAAAAGACCATCTTTCCACACATCAAATAGCCTAAGCAGTACTGCTTTACTACATTCAAAGAAAGCAGATCTCTCCTCCAGCATCTCTCTGCCACTTGGCACTCTTCTGCTCCCTAACAGCAGGGCTGGTACTTCCTTTCCTGCCAACTAACAATCCATTTCATAGAGGGGCCAAAAGAGCCAACATGGCATAGTGGTTTGAGTACTAGAGTATGAATCAAGACAAGCATTCAAATCCCCTCTTGGGAATAAAAACACAGTGGGCGATCTTGGGCAAGTCACACATTCTCAACCCCAGAAAGCCCTCTGATGGGCTTGCCATAAGTCAGAAAAAACTTGAAGACATACCATGGCAACAATGACAAAAACATCCATGGAGTGCTACTCTGCAGCTGATGGCAAAGGCATCCAAATCCAGGCAGGCAAGTGCAAGCAGCAGTGGAACAATAGGAGGATATTAGTTCGTACAATCAAACAACAGGGAGATATTAGCTCATACAATTCATACAAACCCTGGATCAAATGGTGGCTGGTAGCTTCTCTCAAAGTAAATCCACTATGGATTTCAGTCTGAATTCTATTAAAGGTGCTACAGTAGAGTTTTGCTTATCCAACATAAATGGGCCGGCAGAACGTTGGATGAGCGAAAATGTTGGATAATAAGGGATTAAAGAAAAGTCTATTAAATGTCAAATTACGTTATGATTTTACAAATCAAGCACCAAAACATCATGTTTTGCAACAAATCAACAGAAAAAGCAGTTCAATACACAGTAACGTTATGTAGTAGTTACAGTATTTACGAATTTAGCACCAAAACATCGCAATGTATTGAAACAGATGTGGATCCAGGCAGGAGGCGGACTGCATTGGATAATACAGGATGTTGGATGAGTGAAGGTTGGATAAATGAGACTACCTTATTTAAAAACACACACAGAGAGACATATGCGCAGAACTTGGATATCTCCTGCAAGTTTTGGACTACAACCTGGACCAATTGACAGGGAATCTACAACAACTCTGCAGAAATGATCATGGATAGGCTGCCCCAAGATCACAAACCAACACAATAATTTAATGAGGTATCATCATGTGGGAGCCCCCACCCCCGGTGGCGCAGTGAGTTAAAGAGCTGAGCTGCTGAGCTTTTTGACCGAAAGGTCGCAGGTTCAATTCTGGGGAGCGGCGTGAGCTTCCGCTGTCAGTCCCAGCTTCTGCCAACCTAGCATTTCAAAAACATGCAAATGTGAGTAGATCAACAGGTACCGCTCTGGCGGGAAGGTAACGACGCTCCATGCAGTCATGCCGGCCACATGACCTTGGAGGTGTCTATGGACAACACCGGCTCTTCAGCTTAGAAATGGAGATAAGCACCACACCCCGGAGTTGGACATGACTGGACTTCATGTCAGGAGAAAATCTTTACCTTTACCTATCATCATGTGGCATTAGATGGAAACAGGGTACTATAATTTCTACCCTTTATTGATCCTGTTCACACATGTTCCTCCTTATCACAGCGGAAGCTTACGCTGCTCCCCGGATTCAAACCTGCAACCTTTCAGTCAACAAGTTTAGCAGCTCAGCGGTTTAACCCACTGCACCACTGGGGGGGGGGGCATATATATATATATATATATATATATATATATATATATAGGCTTCAGAGATATGTGTTCAATGAAGAAACCTTTCAAAGTAAAGACATTGTCACTGTTTACTTTGAAAGCTTTCTTCATTGAACACATAGTGTGTGTGTGTATATATATATACAGGAATCTATCCGTCTTAGAGCGGTTGCTCCTATTTGCTTTGTGTACTTTCTCCTTACATAGATTGCTTTGTATTTGTTCTGACATCCAACAAGTATTCTGGGACACTGTATAGTTCAAGGGTCCTCAAACTTTTTAATCAGAGGGCCAGATCACAGTCCCTCAAACTGTTGGAGGGCCGGATTATAATTTGAAAAAAAATATGAATGAATTCCTATGCACACTGCACATATCTTATTTTTAGTGCAAAAAACACTGACAAACAATACAATAATTAAAATGAAGAACAATTTTAACAAATATAACTTATTAGTATTTCAATGGGAAGTGTGGGCCTGCTGATGAGGTAGGATTGTTGCTGTTATTGTGTGCTTTCAAGTCGTTTCAGACTTAAGTTGACCCTGAGTGAGGGCCGGGTAAATGACCTTGGAGGGCCGTATCTGGCCCCTGGTATAGTTCTTTAGAATTTGGACCAAAACCCAAAGGCGAATCACATCCCTGTCAATAGGGAAGCAATACATTGGGAACCTTACAACAGGTTGCTTTAGAGCAGAGATGGGCAAACTTGGGCCCTCGGGTGTTTTGACTTCAACTCCCACAATTTCTCAGGCCCCTGGCTTAAGCAGCTGAGGGGGAAAAGGAAGGAGCCTGAGGCTGCTAGGATTGTGTGAGTTGAAGTCCAAAACACCTGGAGGGCCCAAGTTTGCCCATACCTGGTTTAGAGTTTTGATCAAAACCCAAAGGCAAATCAAAGCCCTGGAAGCATTCAATTGCCATTGGAATGAACCATTCATAGGGTTTCTTTAGAATCTGGACCAAAACCTAAAGGCGAATCAAAGCCCTGTCAATAAGGAAGCAATACATTGGCACGGGAACCCTACAACAGGTTGCTTTAGAGCAGGGATTGGCAAACTTGGGTCCTCAGGTATTTTGGATTTCAACTCCCACAATTCCTAGCAGCCTCAGGCCCCTAGTTTATGCAGTTCAGGGGGAAAAGGAAGTGGCCTGAGGCTGCTAGGAATTGTGGGAGTTGAAGTCCAAAATACCTGAGGGCCCAAGTTTGCCCTGCTTTAGAGTTTGGACCAAAACCCAAAAGCAAGTCAAAACCCTGTTAATGAGGAAGCAATACATTGGCACGGGAACCCCACAACAGGTTGCTTTAGAGCAGGGATCGGCAAACTTGGGTCCTCGGGTGTTTTGGACTTCAACTCCCACAAATCCTAGCAGCCTTGGGGCCCTAGCTTAAGCGGGTGAGGGGGAAAGGGAAGGAGCCTGAGGCTGCTAGGAAGTGTGGAGCTATCAGAATGCAGCAATGGCACAAAATGTGCAGCGTGCGTGCAGAGGTAATTTTCAATGGTAATCAAACTGTATTTTGGCGCCCACCCCCCAACCCAATCACTGATCTATATTTTCTGTTCGTGGTGGGAGTTCTGTGTGCCATATTTGGTTCAATTCCATCATTGGTGGAGTTCAGAATGCTCTTTGATTGTAGGTGAACTATACATCCCAGTAACTACAACTCGCATATGTCAAGGTCTATTTTCTCCCAAGAGCGCCTCAAGAGCGCCCCTGGGCAAAATCAACTATACTGCAAATGCTTACTTTGTGTAATGGGTTGAGCCGCCCCTGGGTCCAAGTTTGCCCATACTTGCTTTAGAGTTTGGACCAAAACCCAGAGGCGATTCGAAGCCATGCTGATGTGGAACCGATCAAGTGCCACGGCCGAGTGTGCTGTTATGTTGGCGAGGGCGAATTTGGCCAGACAAGTTTATTTATTTTGTATCAAAAGCATTGCATAAATTAGTATAAAACCGATATAAATAGAAGGAGCACAGGTGGTTAAATATCTTTTGACCCAAAATGGGCAACAGCAACTGCACTGTCTGTAGCCTCCAACAATTCTTCCTCTGTACATGAGGCAGGGCATAGTGGACAAGCGTACAGATGTGGAGTTGTCTGTTCTGCTCCACATTCACACAAGGTGTGGGAATCTTTTAGTTAGTGCCATTTTGCCAGGTTGTCTTCTGTTCTGCCAGACAAGTGACTTGAAAGACCAAATTGGTCTGGAGAGTAGGGTTACCTAGGCAGAAGCATCCTGAATGACATGGTGATGGAGAAAGAGGGCACCTTTGGGGCCCAAGCGGAGTGTGCCAAGGAAGGGCCCAAGAAGCAGACTGCCCATTGGGGGACCTGTGGCTTTGGAAGACATGTGAGTCTGGAAGGAGCTGCACAGATGGGTGGCCCTCGAGCTGGGAATCTGGAAGGTCGGCTGAGGACAGAAGGGTGTGTGGAGGGGGGGGGGAGTCTCTCTTTCTCTCTCTCTCTCTCTCTCTCTTTCTCCCTCTGTGAGTCTGCTGCCAAAGCAGGAGATTAGTGATCGCTAACCAGAAGGCTTTCCTGCCCTGAAGATCTTCCCAAGGAGGCTGGAGGGGGAAGCCCAAGAAGGAGGGAGGGAGCGTGGACCCACCTTCATGATGCCCGCGGCGGGGGCGCTCCTGGCCAGGCCTGGGGGCTGCTGCTCCCTTTCGGAGGAAGGGTCTCGGCTGGTGCAAGGCGGGCCAGCTTCCTCGGCGTCTTCTTCTGGCTGGGCTCCTGCTCGGGGCTTGCGGGGGGCGTTGTGGGGCCCGGGCCGGGGCGAGCCCGAGGCGGGGAGTCCGGGGCTGCCCTCCGCCATGCCCCCCGGGGGCTCCCAGCAGCCGCCGCACCGGCCCGGACCCAACGGCGTGCCCAGAGCCGGACCCAGAAGGAAGGAATGACAGCCACCAAGCCGGGTTGCCTTCCCAGAGACGACGCTTGCGATGCTGCTGCTGCTGCTGCTAATGCTGCTGCCGGGAGTGGATGGATGGGGGCGGGAGGGGCGGGGCCAGGCAAGCCACGCCCCCTCCCCTCCTCTTCATCAACGCCTCCCTATTTATTTATTTACTAGCTCTGCCCTGCCACGCGCTGTGGACCAGTCTGTGTATATGTGTTTTGTGTGTGTATATATTTGTGTATAAAGGTAAATTTATGTATCTATTTATTTATTTGGGGTGCTTCTACCCTGCCCTTCTCAACCCCCTAGTGGGGACTCAGGGCGGCTTACAAAAGGCACAATCCGATGCCCAACAATTCACAAAATACAATATACAAAATTACATATAACGTCAACAGTTATAACTAGTTAAAACAATCAAAACAGTACAATAGCAGCAATAACATCATCTTGTGGTCAATGTTCGCCAATTCATAAATCCGTAATCCATCTAGCATCGTCATTGTCCTTTCCTACTCTGGTTGTTATTGTCTTTGTCCATCGGCCAGCTTACCCGAAGGCCTGGTCCCACATCCAGGTTTTTAGCTTCCCTCAGAAAGAGAGGAGAGATGTTGATGACCTAATCTCCCCGGGGAGTGCATTCCACAGGCGAGGGGCCACCACCGAGAAGGCCCTGTCCCTTGTCCCCACCAGTCTCACTTGTGATTGAGGTGGGGCCGAGGGCAGGGCCTCCCCAGCAGATCTTAAACTCCGAGGTGGGACGTAGAAGGAGATACGTTCGGACAGTTAAGCTGGGCCGGAGCCATAAAGGGTTTTGTAGGTCAAAACCAGCACTTTGAATTGTGCTCAGAACTGGATCGGCAGCCAGTGGAGCTGACATAGTAGGGGGGTGTCCCCTGACATTAAGTCCAGTCATGTCTGACTCTGGGGTGTGGTGCTCATCTCCATTTCTAAGCCAAAGAGCCGGCGTTGTCCATAGACACCTCCAAGGTCATGTGGCCAGCATGACTGCATGGAGCACTGTTACCTTCCCGCCGGAGTGGTACCTACTGATCTACTCACATTTGCATGTTTTCGAACTGCTAGGCTGGCAGAAGCTAGGGCTGACAGCGGAAACTCACGCCGCTCCCCGGAATCGAACCTTTCGGTCAACAAGCTCAACAGCTCAGCGCTTTAACCCACTGCGCCAACGAGGGCTCCATATTTGTATATCTATATAAATAAAAATGTAATGTTCGTTTGTGGGATTAACAGAACTCAAAAACCACTGGACGAATTGACACCAAATTTGGGCACAAGACACCTAACAACCCAATGTATGTCTGTTCTGTCGCCTTTTCTATAGGACGTATACTTTAAGCCCAGCGGGAAGCCAGGGAGCCTCAAAGAGAGGTTCTCAGGGATTTTTCTGAAGTGGTGGTCTTTAGAGTCTTTAATGATACAACAAAGTCTTCATTATGGAACAAACAACGAGTCTTCAATGGTTCAAACAACACTTCAAGGCTTTCTTAGTCTAGCCCTCAATGGACTGGTACCTGACTTTAATTAACTGTACTTTCTCTGTAGGAAAACCCCTTTTTAACCTCTCCCAGGCTGTTTACTATCTATGCCTCATCGGTGTGGGTGCTGCTACCGATTCCAAATGCGTCTGGGTATCGAGTAGACCTACCAGCCGAGGCTTGTAGATATTTCAGATGGAGTTCCGTGGATCTGTCCTCCCTCAGAGAAATCTTTAAGAACTTCAGGGCTGTTTTCCCTCTGATTGCTGTGAGGCTGAGAGGCTGTGAGCTCTCAGCCAGAGCCTTGGGACCCTTTCCCTGGAATTTCTGTTTCTGTTTCCCCGGATGTTCTTGGAAAAAGAAGCTTTTCCACGGAACGAGCTGGTCTATGTCCTATAATTTAGCTTCCCTATGTGAGACTGACAAAAAAAAAATGGCTCCTTTCCTTCCCAGAGCCCTGAACAAGGGGTGGAACCAAAGCTTAATTATGATGGACAGGAGGCCTGTCCTATGACTGCAAACAGATAACAGAAAGAAAATAAAGTTGGAGCCCCTGATACAGCCGTACGAGCACAATGTCCTTCACTCATAAAAACACAGCCAAAGGGACTTAAAAAGCCCCCAAAAGCTAAATGACGAAAAGCTAAATGACAATACAGAAAAAAGGGAAGAAAGAGGGAGGGAAGGGAGAAAAAGAAAAGAAAGAAAGAAAGAAAGGAAAGAAAGAAAGAAAGAAAGAAGGGGAAAGAAAGAGGAAAGGAGAGAAGAAGAAGGAAGAAAAGAGAGAAGGAAGGAAGGAAAGGGGAGGAAGAGAAAAAGGGGAAAGGAAAGAGAGAAAGAAGGAGGAGAGAAAAAGAAAAAAGGGAAAGAAGGAAGGAAAGAGGAGAAAAGGGGGAAGAAGAGAAGAGGGAGGAAAGGAAAGAAAGGAAGAAGAGAAAGGAGAAAAGAGAAGGAGAGAAAGAAAAAGGGAAAGGAAGGAAGGATAGAGAAGGAAGGAAGGAGAGAAGGAAAAGGAAGGAAGGAAAGAGGGGAAGGAAGGAGGGAGAGAAGGAAAGAAGGAGGGAAGGTTGACCACAGCAATGCGTGGCGGGTACAGCTAGTATCTATATAAATAAAAATGTAATGTTTGTGTGTGGGATTAACAGAACTCAAAAACCACTGGACGAATTGACACCAAATTTGGACACAAGACACCTAACAACCCAATGTATGTCCTTCACTCAAAAAAAATTGATTTTGTCATTTGGGAGTTGTAGTTGCTGGGATTTATAGTTCACCTACAATCAAAGAGCATTCTGAACCCCACCAATGATGGAATTGAATCAAACTTGGCACACAGTTCCCATGACCAACAGAAAATACTGGAAGGGTATGGTGGACAGTGTCCTTTGGTTTTGGAGTTGTAGTTCACCTGCACCCAGAGATCACTGTGGACTCAAACAATGATGGGTCTGGACCAAACTCTACGCGAATACTCAATATGCCCAAATGTGAACACTGGTGGAGTTTGGGGAAAATAGAATCTTGACATTTGGGAGTTGTAGTTGCTGGGATTTATAGTTCACCTACAATCACAGAGCATTCTGAACCCACCAACGATGGAATTGAACCAAACTTGGCACACAGTTCTGCCATGACCAACAGAAAATATATGTGTGTATATATTTGTGCATATGTGTATATATGTGGTTTTCTGCATTTTTGTGTTTTGGCTTTTTAAGTCTCTTCTTCTGCATTTTTCAGTGTTTTTATGAGTGATGGTCACTTGTTGGCCTGATAGGTGTATTGTGTCCAAATTTGGTGTCAATTCGCCCAGTGGTTTTTGAGTTATCTTAATCCCACAAACGAACATTACATTTTTATCGAAGGCTTTCATGGCTGGAATCACTCGGTTCTTGTGGGTTTTTTCGGGCTATATGGCCATGTTCTAGAGGCATTTCTCCTGACGTTTCGCCTGCATCTATGGCAAGCATCCTCAGAGGTGAGGTCTGCTGGAACTGGGAAAAAAGGGGTTTATATATCTGTGGAATGACCAGGGTGAGACAAAGGGCTTTTGTAAGTTGGGCTAGGTGTGAATCTTTCAACTGACCACCTTGGTTAGCATACAATGGGCTGACTGTGCCTGGAGCAAACTCTTCTTGAAAGGTGATTAGATGTCCCTGCCTGTTTTTCTCTCTGCTGTTTTTGCTGTTGCAGTTTTAGAATTTTTTAATACTGGTAGCCAGATTTTGTTCATTTTCATGGTTTCTTCCTTTCTGTTGAAATTGTCCACATGTTTGTGGATTTCAATGGCTTCTCTGTGTAGTCTGACATGGTGGTTGTGAGAGTGGTCCATTTTTGTGTTCTCAAATAAAATGCTGTGTCCAGGTTGGTTCATCAGGTGCTCTGCTATGGCTGATTTCTCTGGTTGAAGTAGTCTGCAGTGCCTTTCATGTTCCTTGATTCGTGTTTGGGCGCTGCGTTTGGTGGTCCCTATGTAGACTTGTCCACAGCTGCATGGTATACGGTAGACTCCTGCAGAGGTGAGAGGATCCCTCTTGTCCTTTGCTGAACATAGCATTTGTTGGATTTTCTTGGTGGGTTTGTAGATTGTTTGTATGTTGTGTTTCCTCATCAGCTTCCCTATGCGGTCAGTGGTTCCCTTGATGTATGGCAAGAACACTTTTTCTCTGGGTGGATCTTTATCTTTACTCTCGTGGCTTGTTCTTGGTCTTGCAGCTCTTCTGATGTCTGAGGTGGAGTATCCATTGGCCTGTAGAGCCCAGTTGAGGTGGTTCAGTTCATCTTGGAGGAGGTGGGGGTCACAGATTCTTTTTGCACGGTCTGCCAAGGCTTTAATGGTGCTTCTTTTTTGACTTGGCTGATGGTTGGAGTTTTTATGTAGATATCTATCTGTGTGTGTGGGTTTTCTGTAGACGGTGTGACCCAATTGTTGATCTGGTTTGCGGATGACTAGGACATCTAGAAAAGGCAGTCTTCCTTCCTTTTCTTTTTCCATGGTGAACTGGATGTTTGGGTGGATGCTGTTAAGATGGTCCAGGAACCTGTTGAGTTCTTCTTCTCCATGGCTCCAAATGGTGAAGGTGTCATCCACATATCTGAACCATATCGTGGGCTTTTTGGTTGCTGTCTCCGGGCTTGTTTTTCAAAGTGTTCCATGTAGAAGTTAGCTATGACTGGGCTGAGAGGGCTCCCCATAGCTACTCCATCTTTCTGTTCGTAGAATTCATTGTCCCACTGAAAATAGCTGGTGGTGAGGCAATGGTGAAACAGCGCCATGATGTCTTCTGGGAACCTCTGGTTGATGAGTGCTATGGTGTCTGCAACTGGGACCATGGTAAATAGAGACACCACATGGAAGCTTATCAGTTTGTCATTTGTATTTAGCTTGAGATTGCTGATTTTTTCAATGAAGTGGGCTGAGTCCTTGATGTAGTGTGTTGTGAGCCCAATGTGGCTTTGTAACTGTGCAGCAAGAAATTTGGCTAAGTCATATGTGGGGAATCCAATGGCACTCACGATGTCAGTTGAAAGATTCACACCTAGCCCAACTTACAA